TGCAACCACAATGACCTCACCATGAGATCTTCCAATACTATACTGATAAATACTATAATGATAAAACTTCCAAAACACTACACCTTCCCCTTCAGAGGGGTTATTTCATGGCTTTTTTAAGAATGAAGTGAGCTCAAGTGATTAAGAGCTCTCAATCAAAAACAGGGAAATGCATTTAATCTATAGCTATAGTCACAGTTGCACGATTTGTAGAACAGGCATGCAAATCTGGTTAGCATCATTATCCCTTCAGTTGTCACAATATCCATGTGATGAAAGAAGATCAGTAAAATATATTATTTCCTGTGAGTTGCATAGCCATTATAATTGTTCTGTCCTGTTCCAACACTTCTTTGTGAAATAAGTTTTGCCTTATTCACTAGTAGAATGCATGTTTAACCAACATGTTGCTTTGGGTTCATTAAGATGACACTGGATCATAAAGACATTGATAGTCTTTAAAAAAAAAAACTTTAATTCAGTCAGTGTACAGCAAGGTGACAATCAGGTGGCAAGGTGAGTTAGGCTTCTATGAGTAACTGTGGAGTGAAAATGTGTCATATTCTCAAGGTTTATGGTAACCTTCTCAAACAGTATCCTAGGGCAGAATCACCTCTAGATGTTTAGAACTATGGCTCCTATAACCTATGGTTCATGGGTCATGCTGCTTGAGGCTGATGGGAGTAAGGGGCAAAGGTTCCCAACTACTGTCCTAAGATACCAAGCTTCTGACCATTTCCTGTTAATGTCCCCAAGGCAGGAAAGACACAACAGGCCTGCAGACTGTTACTATTTCATGGGCAGGATTAAAGTACACCCCAGTAAATTTAGGTTTGTGTGATCAATGTGGATTGTGGTGCTCTAATGCAACAAACCCACCTAAAAGCCCTAAACAAACCAGACTTTTTGAACTAAGTGATTGAAAGAATACACTAAAAAGTGTGGGATTAACAATCGATTATCAGGGAGACCTGTAACCTCTGCACAAACAAATCAGGATGAATGCTTGTTCAATAAAAAGCAGGCATCATATACGGTAACTTCTACACAAGCCTTGTGAAAACAAATCAGGATGAATGCTCAAATAAAACAGGTTGTCTGGAAGCCATCCAGGATTCAGTACAGATAGGCAGTGTTAGAAACTGAGATATGAAAGCCAGGAGCCAAATGGCACCTTAAACCTAGGTTATGGGCGCAACAGCGGAATGTCTGAATGGGCTTTTTATAAAAAGAATACAAAGCTGAAAATGACATGAACTGCAGCTAAAATATTACATTCTGTTTTCACATGGTCTAGTCCTTCCCCTGCCCACCCCCCTAATATTCTTAAGAGGGTCTCTTCTCCAGTCTTCAGAGAGTAACTGGAAGTGGGGAGGCAGAAAAAGGCCCTCCTTTTCTTCCACTCTGCAGTTTTAATGTGGAATTTTGGGTGCAGTACTGCAGCCAGAGCTTAGAAACTCTCACGCTAATGACATCCCCTGTTGAAAATGCACCTAGAACAATGGGAGTTTTGAACACTGGAGACAGGATAATGCTAACATGTTAACCAGTGGACCTCCATTGGCTGAAGTTACCCACATTTGCTTTGCTCTGAAGTCCCCAAGGCTGCAGAATTCTGGATTTCACCAGACTCTATCTCTAACAAAAGGTTGTCATATCTTTTCCTCACCAGGTCTGAACTTATGCTGGGCAAAGGTTCTGATACACAGTGTCCCTGTCAAGAACAATGAAACTGCCAATGAAGAGGGGAGGTTGCTACAGCGGTACACTATGCGATGAAAAAGACACAGGGCCATTGAAAGACACAACCATTCCAGTTGATGGATGGGTATTAATGTTTTGCATGCATTGTAGATGTTTACAGGTATCTTTTGCCATGCTTAAATGTGTGCCAAGAGTGGTTGTAGCAGAGGGCCCTGGCATGATATTCACCAGCAGTGAACATGAGGGCAACACTTACAGATTTTTTAAAAAGCATAAGTTGTAATTTTCTTCTTTGTTTCTGCACGAATTCTTGCAATGTATTTCAGTATCACGTTAGGTCAGACATGTGGCTTCTCATTTGTTAAAAGGATTATTCATGAAGCTGTCAGGTGTCTGGGTCACAGAAAAACACAGCAGGCAATCAAATCAGAGACACGGCAGTGTTGTCTACAAAGGCAGCACTTCATTTCCCCGCATCTCCTCCCCACTCTCCCATGAATGTCAAGTTTTTTAACCAAGGGAATGGCGGCAATTCACTTATATGAGAGAAACCAAAGGGTTGCATATGAGGTATGGTTCAAACTATATTCCTCACTGGCCCTACTCTCTGGGGTAAGAGGCAGATTTAGTCTCCCCACAACTGTGTCCCAGATTGTAGCCATTGAGAACCAAGCCTGCTTCTATCCTTAAATGCTTCATATCAGGGATGGGGAATCTCTGGCTGTGGTTGGGTTGCATCTCCCATCATCTCTGATCATGCTGAAATGTCCAACAACATTCAGAGCACCACAGGTTCCCTCCTTCCCTGCTGCAGCATCAGATTTAGGGCAGTGTAGAAGTTCCCCCACACAGGGTGCTGAGCTGGTGCCAAATTGAGAAGATCCATAACTGAGAAGATACATTTTGGGGGGCCAAATTTTTGCCTCACTCAAGGCACCATATTACCAAACCCCACCCCTGCCTGCTATATATATAAATAGTCTAGGTTCTGTTTCTCTTACTTGGTCTCACACAGATATCTTAATGAGATCCACCATTCAGAATCTGGGACGAAAGTGCGTTCCTTTAAACTGGTCCCCAGTTCTGCATCAAATTTCATGCCCTCTTATTCCTCTCAAAGTCTGTAAGTACGTTTCAGCTCAGTTTACAGCAGCAGGAAACATGTAATTCTGTAGGAGTAGCTAAGGTGATCTGGTGCCTTTCAGAACACCAATACTAACAGCACAATTTTATGCATGTTTGCTGTTCCATTTAACAGGGTTTACTCCCTGGCCTATTACATGCAGTTAGGATGCTGCAATCTCAATCAGACTTGCTAAATGCAAGCCCCAATGAACACAGTGGGACTTGCTTCCAAGTAAACCTGAACAGCAGTAGTTCCCAACTGGTGGTCTGTGGACCCCAGGAGGTCTGCACAACCCACTCATGGGGTCTGTGGCACCATTAGCATAACAAAAACTACCATAGAGATATCAACATTTTCAAAAATGGGGGGCCATGGCTTGACTTTTGAAAAACAAAACAAAACCAAGGGGTCTGCAGTACTTAGCTAACTGGGAACCACTGCTGTACAGGATTCTGTTGCACTGCTGCAATATAGCAAAGATATAGGATTGATTTTTAGTGGATTTACAGGTAACTATGACAGACTGTAATCTAAAGGCATATTTTGCATGAGGGGTGGTCTAGAAATATTTGTAAAAATAAAATCAACTTACTGCATCATATTGCTTAAATATAATAAAAATGGACAACATTCAGTCCAACGAGGGTCAAGCACATAGGGGTTCACTCACAGGTGGGAGGCCAAATGTAGAGCCCCAAGAAAATGCCCTGTCACAAACCTATGGCTATGAGACATGGTGCTTGCCTTAGCCCCACCGCACACCTAGGTGCCACAATTTCCCACAGCGCTCCTCATGTAGAATTGCCTGCAGGGGCACTGTCTGCTGTAGTGCTCAGTGTGAGGGACTAGTCCCTGAGCGTATGTGTGTGTGGAGACCAGGGTTCAAATCCCCACAGGGCAGTGAACCTCACTGGATGACCAGGCCCCGGTTCCTGTGTCTCAGCCTAAATGTTGTGGGCAGGCCTCCCCCCCCCCCAGCTGGAACTCACCTCTCAGGTGGGCTCTGTAATGCGAGAGAACGAGGGAGGCGTTCACAACCAGTTCTGGCACCAATTTTTTTAAATAGAAAAACAGCACTGGTTGTGAGGGATTAAATCACGAGGGGAGAAGCTGGAGCTCCTTGGAGAAAAAGGAGGGATGCAAAGCAGTAATATAAAATGGCGGCTTGGCAACCCAGTCCCTGGGCAACCCGGTGAGGCAGGGCAGCTTGCCCAGAGCCGGCCCACAGGGCCATCTTTACCCAGGGGTGCAGGGGTGTGGGGCACCTGGGTGCCAAATTCTGGGGGGTGACCATGCCCGCTGCTGAAGCCACCTAAGCTCTTAACTATCTACCTGTTTATGAAATAATAAATAATTTTGATCAAGCTAGAAAAACAAAATACACATATACCTAGGTATCACCGAAATGTATGCCTACTGTTTCACTAAAGGACTTTCAACTTTGTGCGCCCATTTACCAAAGACCTGCCACACCAGCAGCAGCGCTTGACATTCACAACTGTGGCGCTTGTCAGACTCAGCGATGGCGCTTGTCATTCTCAACAGCGCCGTGCATGCAGAATTAACTAAATTTGGGGGCGCAGGGCGCATCTTTGCACCCCAGTGGCGCATATGCTAAAGACAGCCCTGCTGGCCCACCCATGAGGCATGGTGAGGTGACCGCCTCAGGTGGCAGGACCCACTGGGACAACAGATCTCGATGTCACGCTTCCTCACCCCTTCCTGATGTAGATCTTCCCTTCCCCTGATTCCCTGGCAGCAGTGGCGTAGCGTGGGGGGTGCAGGGGGGGACGGCCGCACCGGGCGCAACATCTGGGGTTAGGGCAAATCCACAGGTTAGGGGGCGCAAATCCACGGGTTAGGGGGCGCAAATTACTTGCCTTGCCCCGGGTGCTGACAACCCTCGCTACGCCACTGCCTGGCAGGCAGCGAGGGCGCAATGGTGGGGTGCCCAAATGCCTTGGGTCTCGTCTCCCTGGGTCTGTCCTGGCTCGCCTCCTGCCCCCAAAGTCTGCTGCCCTTGCCTTCGGTTTCCCTCTCCGGCGCGCCCTTGGCGTCTCCCTCCGCCCCCCGCAGCCTCCCCGGCTGCCTCTTCGCATTCCTCTCGCGCGCCATTCCTCTCCTGCGTCGTCGTCCCGAAGGGGACCTTTTTTCTCTCGCGCGCTCTCACCTGCTCGTTAAGCGCCAGAGCCGCCTTCGCCTCTCTATTCCCCCCCCCCTTCCCGTCACCTTCCCATCTTCTCAGCAGAAGCTTCCGCGCCCCCTCGCGCCAGCGGAGAGGCGCTAAGAAGGGAGAGCCGGGGCAGAGAGAGGAGGAATGAGCCCGGCCGCCGAGGGGAGGCCTCGCAGCCCCCGACGGTCGCCCGAGTTAGGCGCCGCCTCCTCCTCCTCCTTCTCCCCGGGCAGGATGCAGAAGCAGCGGCGGCGGCTGGTGGCGGTGCTGCTGCTGCTGCTCGCGGCCGGCAGCCTGCGGCGCGCGGCGGATAGAGGAGGCGCATGAGGCGGCTCTCGCCCACCCTGCCTCCTACCGGCGGGTGCAGGTAAACGGGGGCGAGAGGGCGGGAAACGAGGCGGCTCTTCGGGACGCTCGCCAGGCAAGGCAGGCAGGCAGGCAAACCGCGGCTTCTCAGCAATGCCTCTCGCGGCTCTCTTAGGATGCATACGGTAGAGCGACCGAAGCGTTGTATAATCCCGCGCCCCCCATTTGGCGATGCGCCCTCCCGGCTCTCCCGCTCCGAAGAGTTGGGGTGACTGTTCCAAGCGGACTCGGGTAGGGGAGTCCCTCTGCGCGCAGCGAGAAGATTTACTTTCCCGACATGTTTAGGATCGGGCTGTGGAAAGGGGGTGGGGGGTGGGAGACATTGTCGGTTTGCCTTAAGAATAAATCTGTCTATGCTTGCCTATGCTTGCCTATACACACCGCACGTGCAGGACTATCCCCGTCGTTGGTGCATGTTTAAACCCGTCCATTAAACTCCCTTTTATTCCCCTGTCCAGCAAGTCAACAGAGATGCTGATTTAAGATGCCATCCCGCTCGGCACAACTTCTTCCTTTTTCTCTTCCGCCGCGCCACTTGCTTGGACGCCTCTCTGCTGTTTGGGGCTGGAAGGTCTTCATGCGGGCGGCAGCAGTGGCCCAACCTCCCTCCTTTGATCTTTGTAGCTGTTTTGCATTTTGCAACGAACAAATAAATAAATAAACCTTAAAATAGACCAGATCTTTGAAGAGAAGTGGGGGGGGGGTGTAACTCTTGCCTTGCAGCTCGCTTGTTTTGTTCTTAAAGCTCTCTAGCATCCTCATGGCTGGAGACTATTTTTAAAATTATTATTTTTTAAAAAAAGCAACCACCCTGTTCTGATCTTGCCTCAGCCTTCTCAGCTGACTTGGAGAACTTCACGCGGCTGCCTTCAGTTTTTGTCTCATTCTTTTGACCTCTTTGTTGTTCCTGAAGCCGCCTGCCAATTTCCCTGCATGGATATTACATGTGCATTGGAAAAGATGTGAAGCTTCTTGCATGGGCTTAGCCAAGGGGGGGGGGCGGGACAGGGAGGGGCTGCTGCCAACCCAAATCAATCAATAAAAATAAAAATACATAGCAAACTGATGTTCTGCCCCCCAACAAAAGGCCTGCCCCCGCAACAAAAATCCTGGCTACACCCATGCCTTCGTGTGTAACGAATGCACGTGCCAGTATTGACATGTTTACTGCTGCCAGAATGGGCACGGGTTTGCTGCATGCGATGGTGAATGTGTCCCCCCCCCCACTCCCAGAAGTGATATTCATGTATGAAAATTATCTGCAGTGCCAAGGGAATGCAAATCTAGTCCAGCTGGAGAAGCCAGGTGCAATAATTTCACCCAGTCTAGTTCAGTGGTGGGATTTAATTTCCAGACAGAAATGTGATAGTGATCTTGCGTGCATGTGGGTGTGTTTGTGCTGCTCCCTTTGCCAGGAGTAGCAGGTGGCCAGGTGATGGCTTGCTGGCTTCCCCTTCTGTTGCTAGCCTGCACTTTTGTGTTTGCATATCTGTGCACCAAATACATTTCCTTTCCATAGAACATGGTAGCCATATGCTCCCGTCTTAACTTGTGCCTGGTTCATCCAGTTTCTCAGCAGCTATATATTTCCATGTTCTTTTTTTTAAGGCTGCTTCACAGCACTTCTGTTTAAACCATCCTGTTTGGGGAGAAATATTTGTAAAGCTGATTGCGTGTGGTGGGGGATCGTTAGGGAGTGAAAGGAAATTTGTTAAAGGCAAAGCGATAAACCCAAGACAGTAGATAGTTAAAACAACACATAGTTATTCTATAATGAAAGTGTGCATAACAAGATGACAGTGGCTTCTAGAATTAGGAAAACATTTGTTGCATCTTGTTATAATATATTATTAAAATACTCTGTGCAGAGTCCCTTGCTTTCATTTTTGAGTTGGATGGAATTCCCTAAGTCAGATTTCTCTCCCTCAGCAAATTCTTTAAATTCAGTGCTTAAAAAAAATACATTATCTTTGTTTTTAAAAAAATACATTATCTTTGTTTTTAAAATATTTCTGGTGCTTTCTCTTCCTTTACCGACTTAAAACAGATTCATGCATTTATATGGTTCTCATACTATAGTTGCATTTGGTATTTTTGCCATGCTCTGAACATCTTGTCCTGTGGATATAAAAACTACAGTTCCAAGGATGTAAAAAGTTCAGTTCTGAGGAGTAGGGCCCTTTCAGTTTCAGGGAATCTTGCCAACCAGGTCTGCATACACACCATACATTTAAAGCACATAACTCTCCCCAAAGAATCTTGGGAACTGTAGAATGTTGATAATTCTGAGAATTATCAGGACACCCCTTAAAGAACAGCAATTCCCAGCACTCTTAACAAACTACAGTTCCAGAATTATTTGGGGGAAGTCACGGGCAAATGTGCTTTAAATGTATGGTGTGTACACAGCCCAGGTTCTCTGGTGACATTCTTATTTGGGAAGGACTTTGGGGGAGTGAACTTGGCTCTTTTTTTGGCTTAATGGTAGACTTTTTGGTGTTGTTGTTGTTTTCAACATCATTTTTAACTGTAATCATGTGTTGAGCTGTACGTTATTGTATTGATTTTTTAAAAAATGATATATGGCCCAAGAGTCTATTTGCTCAGAGGGAAGTGTATGTCTCCTGATTTTTAAATAATAAAAATAAAATTTATTTATACCCCGCCCTCCCCGGCAAAGAGCGGCTAACAACAGTAAAAACAATGGGGGGGGGAACCCAATTTAAAATACAGGTTAAAATGCAATTTAAAATGCAGCCTCTTCAAAACCATAAGGGGAGAAACATAAGGGTCAGGACTGAATCTCTCT